ACTGCATACAGTGTAATTTTTTATGTAAATTTGCATCTGAACATTGTCAAGAATTTCATCTTGCATCTTGTAGAGACAAGTTGGGCAATCACAGCACATCATGTAGGCCTTGGCAACAACCTTTCACCTCCTCACGGCAGTACAGGAAAACCAGTTCCTGGTTGGAATGGTGAGTGATTCTATTGATTGTGCTAAAAAAGTAAATTTTCTGTATACCCTTTAACATGTTGACTGCCAAAACCTTTGTTCCTAAATCTGCTTGTTTACTTGTTTCTGGTTTCTTGTACAGTGCTTCTGCTTAATTGCAGTTACCAAGCACTTGTTCATCCCTGGCCATTGGGTCCAGGTGCTTAAATGTTGCTACCATATGGGTGCACACACCACATACTCATTCTATACTTCTAGGTAGTAACAAGCAATGCAGATGAAGTGCTTACTCAAGGACATACAAAATGAGCAGTGAGAGGTTGATTTCCCAACCTCAAGGGTGGAAAACCAAACTGCATGTTCCCGCTACACCATACTGCTTCTGCTACCTGAATGCTTTTTTTTTTGGATTCTACTGAAAATATGGTTTTAAAGCAAGTATTGTTTTGATGTCAGTTCATAAGGAAATGAAAGTACAAATTTTTAATTCTTAATGCTGATTATATCTCAACAATAATGTTTTAAAACCATTGCTTTCTTGCCTGTTTTTTTTTTAGTTAAAATTCTTGGAAGTGATGGTGAAGTGCTGAAGCCAGATGAACTTGGCACCATTGCAGTGAAGTAAGATTGTATATTTTATTTGTACCTCTCTCTTGTATTAGTGTTGATGTTTAGGTTACAGAAATAATATTTATTGTCATAGATTAAAATGAATGCTGTATATTTATTTTTTAAATATATATCATATTATAAAACATTGCACATTTAACAATGATATAAGGTTGATTAAATTCCAGTTATTCACCTGAAAATGATTGTAATGGAATGGAATTTTAGACACAATTTTTGTTGATATTTTAATACATTTATGCATTAATTTTTCTAGACTGCCTCTTCCTCCTGGTGCATTTTCTACACTGTGGGAAGCTGATGATCGGTTTAAAGACTTGTATTTTAAAAAATTCCCGGTAAGTATACAGTATTTTCCCAAGTTTGAACCACATCTTACTTAACAACTTACTACTTCCCAAAAGACTAGTCAGTTAACTTAATTTACAAGTAAAATTAACCATAACACAGGAGGCCTCTCAAAAAAATGGTCTGCATATTTTGATTGCATATGAGTCATTTTTTACAGTAAACCTCTCCTTTTAAGTTCCTATCTGAGAAGACTTAGATCTACCTCTCAAACCATGGGCAGGGGTGGTCTTAAACTAACACCAGTGTTATGTCTGTAGGTTGCAGCGGCCATGCTTTAGTCACTGACTGGCTCAGCATTGGTAAAACTATTAAGAATCTTTCTTAGTTTTATTAAGAGGGTATATTCTAATTGTTTAGCAACACATTGACTGATTGGGAGCTGTCAGTCACAGACCCTCATTCTGAAGCTTTGATGACCAGGTGTAATCCTGCTACTTCTTTTTTACTTAATTTCTGTGAAGGGTTATTACAATACCATGGATGCTGGAAGTTATGACAGTGATGGTTATGTATACGTGAAATCAAGAGCTGATGATGTCATCAATGTTGCTGGACATAGAATAGCATCATCAGCTATTGAGGAGGTAAAGTACAATAAATGCATGCTGAACATTTTGACCAACGTTAATCATGCATATAAACACTGCAAGAAGTCTACGAGTAACTATTACAGCAATATTTCAATTGGTTTATACTGACGACTATTCCAACATGCTCTTCTGTGAAGTAATGTTGTTTTACATATAAACATTTATGCTATACAGTATTAATATTATATACAGTACAATATTAATATTATTTAATGAGATCTTGTTTTTATGGTTGATATCTTGTTATTTCAAGGCGATCATGTTACAAGGTGATGTGGTGGAGTGTGCAGCCATTGGTTTGAAAGATGCCCTGAAGGGTCATGTACCTGTTGGACTGTGCATACTTAAAAAAGGTGTTAAAATATCTTCAATATTATAATGACAGCTACAGTAGCTTTTTATAGTTTACAGTCAAACTCGCTTGAATCTAAAGTGCCACTGAAACATAGTTTGTCTTAGATTAAAATTCGACTAAAACAAAGTCGAATTTTATTCGAGTTATATCACAATAGCAGCAACTTGACTTGGAGAGTTAGGCCTTATGGAGACCCGAACAAATTAACATACACGGATGGTACACGCACGATGTTGACCGCACATTTGGCCTAGGCCTAGAACTGTAGAAGTAAAGGCCTAAGCTACCTAAATTACCTTGAAAGCAGTATTCTTCAGAGTATCAATACATTACATTAATTCTGTAATTATATTAAAGTATATATATTTAAATGTTTTTTTAACTGCTTCTATGCCATTCTTTTTAATACATTATAAAGAGGAATCAGTAAATACTAAAATTAAAGCTTACCGTAATCATATTTTATATTTGATAAACTACCGTAACATTTAATAACTGATTTTTGCATGGCCATCAAATCTTAAATACGATAATTCAGTGGGAAAATCCCAATACTTACTAGGTGAAAAGTCTATAATATATATATATTTCAATACGTGTATTAATCGTAAGTGAACCAGATCTGTATACCCTCCCGCAAAATGGACCGTTCCAAAATCGCCCACTACTAATGCACATGCTTGCTTCTCGCTGCTCCGCGAGGAGAGCAGGCGATGCTCTGCAGATAGTTTGTATGCAACGAAGATCGGGATGAAGATAAAAACTACAGTAACACATTTGTATTATATGACTGGTTATTCCCTATACCTAAATTCCATAAGAAATTTATTTTACAATTACTGTACGTATTTTGCAATACAATTTAATCTACTGTATATAAAAAAGAACTAACAAAACCAGAAAGAGTACTTAGATTAGTCGCTTGTTGACGTTACCACATGTCTGAACAATAGTGAGGAATTTGAGTTGAGTTGCTTGTAAAATAAACTACACAAATTAACGCTATGCAATGTAAACACGTGTCACTTGTCGGGCTTACTTAGCGTGTGAATTTCTGTATTACCAAATGTATGAGTCACTTGTTGACTTTCATAGCGATGTTGGTAAAGCAGGCAACAGCTTAAAATGATTGAAGTTTTACGTCAATAATTTAACTTCGACTTACGGACTAACAATTAATAGAAAACAGATCAATTTGGCACATAAAATATGTTTAACTTTCGTTTTTATTCAACTTAAATTTATTCGAGTTAGAGCAAATGTTAACCATTGTAAATATAGCGAAGATGAAGTGACATGAAAATAATTTCAACTTTGACAATTTTTCGACTTAGGCACATTAGACTTAGGGAGTTTGACTGTATTTGTGAATTAATGTTAAAAATAGTGTTATTGTACTAATTAAATTAACCAATTACATAAAATTAACAGTTATTGCATGTGGTAGAAGAAAATATACCTACATGGTACCTTGTAATAATATGTTCTTTTGATTTTAGGACATAATTGCAAAGATTTATTTAAATCCCCTATAGGGATAGATTAAACATTAGGAAATAAATGTTTTAAAATACAATTTTCAAGATACATCAACAGAAATGTGAGTGTTTTTTTTTCTGATTTTAGATGTTGATAAAACAGATAAACAAATAATATCTGAAATAGTAAGCACTGTTCGTGAAGCCATTGGACCAGTAGCAGCATTCAAAAAGGCAGTTATTGTGAACAAGTTACCAAAGACAAGGGCTGGAAAGATATCAAGACAAACAGTTGCATCTATGGCAAATGGTGAACCATTTAAGGTACAGTAAATCATGTATTGTGTTATCAAGGGATGTGTGGTAATGCAAAGTCAATAATAATCCAAGTGCAATATGTTGTAGTTCTAGACAGCTCTTCTAGAGTGAAGCAACCAGCGAAAGCTCATTGGGTTGAAGAAGGTTTATGTAAAATCGTCTAAATGTACTTGGAAGAATTTCATCTAGTTTTTAGTTGAATATACTGTGAAACTGTCATGTAAGTTTAAAAAAAACTTTTAGTCTATACATTAAAGAACCTTTCACAGTATAGTCTAAATGTAATTTATATTTATGTTTTTCTTTCAAACCAATGGTGACGATGTCAAAATTTCTTTCAGATTCCAGCCACAACAGAAGATTTTACTGCCTATGATATGGTCAAAGCTGCACTACAAGCAGAGGGCATTATGAAATGCTAGACCTTCCATCTTATAAACTCAGTATTAACTAAGCTTTGCCTTGAAATCATTAATCTCTTTCCATCATACCTCAGTCATAAAAGTCAATTTTAATTTTTCTTTAATTTCTATTCCAATTTCAAGTTGATAATTTTATGTAACCTCAAAATAAGGATAATTTAAAATATACTGCAGTCATTTGTAACAGAAAGCACTTTCCCTTGTATTGCAGTGTTTTGTCATTGTAAACTGTTTTGTTTATATTTTATATGCCACATTCATCATTGCAGGCTCTTTCCATCAACCCGCAGTAATTTATCACTGCTCTTTTCCTTGCAATCAGTCATCCATTATTTCAAGCTCTTTTCATTATACCCAGTCATTTCGACAGCTTTTTCATCGTTCCTGCAGTAATCAGTATCTCATACCTCAGTCATTTACCACTGTCAGATCAGGGTTGAGTCTGATGTTCAGCACTGGTTTGTGTGCTAGTGCACAACACTCCAATCTTCTTGTCATGCTTCCTTAGGAGCATTAAGTGGATGCTAGTCTGTTGATATCAGTTACTATTTTATTAATTATGAGTACTTTGCAATGTCTGTTACATCTGATTTCTTTTGACCATGAGCTTGGTAAGTGCTTCTATGAACTACAGTTTGATTTGTGAAAATTGACTAACAGAATGAAAAGTTATACCAGTTGTTGAATTTCCTTGGTATGAGAAAATAAAATTAATAGATGGCACCCTCGCTAGAAATACCATTATGTGCTGGTAAAGGATGGTGTGTTGTGATATAAACAGGAATTAAACTTTAAAATGCTTTATATGTATTTAATTGTGCTGACAGACCAAATGTACATGTTCTAGTATCATTATCGGTTGGCAGCAGGTTTCACACAAATTATAAAAAAAGTCTTCAAGACTGAGGCTTTTTTTTGTGTTATGAGTTATCTGTTAGTAATCTGAAGACTCAAAATTAAACTTCAAGACGCCAGAAAAGTAGAAGTTGAAACATCGGGGTACTCAATGCAATTTACCAACCAATCAGCCTACCTGGATATTAGAATTAACATAATTCCTAATCAACTTAGTTCAATAAATTAACTTATTTAGCAATCAACCAACCTAGACATTCAATCAGCCTAATTACCAATCAGTCAACTTATTTAACAGTCAACCAAACTGAACATTAGTCAATCAACAAACAGTAGTTGTTACCAATCACGCAATCAACTTGGAAATTTTAAAGTTTATATGATTCTCATTTGTTACCTTTTCCCCATAATTGCTTATTTTAGGTCCATTTTCATGTAATGTATTACTGTACTTCATATTGCTTTTTTTCATTTCAAAAGGAAAGGAAACTTCTAATTGATTTGAATAGTTTAAAAAAAATAGTACAGTAAATTAAATGAGTGGTGCTTATAATAAGTGAAACTAATTAAAGTGTCAC